TCTGTGGGCCCGGAGACACCCTCGCGGCCCCCCAAACCTTTCCCTTCCCACCCAGATGTTGGGTGCCGCAGAGACCCAGCCAGAGACAGAGTGAGGGGGAGAAGAGGAGCAGGAGCATGAGGGGAGGGAGGAGATGTTTGCCAAATGATTAAAAAATTAAAGGGATTTTTATGCAGAGAAAATATTTAGCTTGGCAGGCATTGTCTTCTCAACCAAACGTTGGCTTCCAAGAGAAAACACTGGGGCTGGCAGCAAACATTTGCTAAATGGAAACAATTGTCGCCTTCCCAGCAGCCATAGAAAATGCCTGCGTTTGGGCTGACTGGTGCCTGGGCCAAAAACAGCGTCTTCAGATGCTGCCCCCAATTTCTGGGAGGCTGTGGGAAGGGGGAGACTTGCCAGAAGCCCATTGTGCCCACAGCACCTGCTAGTCTCAGGGGCGATGCTGTGCGGAATGGCTGCATCCTTCTCCAGGGTGGGGGTAGGGGTGAGAGAAGGGCAGGTGAGAGGCGGGTGGGCGGGGAGGGAGGGAGGGAGAAGGGGAGGAAAGGGTGAGGAGAGAGGCAGACGGTCGCAGCAGCTGCGTGGAAAGTGCTTGAACACAGAAAGGATGCTGGGAGAACTCAGTGAAATCCTACAACAATGGCATCCCCAGGGTGGTGGTGACCTTCGGCTACTTGTCCCCAAACCTGATCATCCCCATAGAGAACAGTCACAGCTTTTGGTGCTTTGTCTTGCCAAATCCTCATCTACACACAAGGCGCTCGCACAGTCCTTATTTTCACGGGAGGAGGAGAGGGTGAGCTTGTTGCCCAAGTCACAGGCCTCAGGGAACATTGGCAACTGGAGGCCGTAAGCAAAGAAGACCCGTGCGCTGGGAGTCTGTAGGGCGGAGCCTAGATGGGGACCCCAGCGTCTCCACCTGTGCTCTGTGCAGCCTGGGGTCCCATGCATCTGGGGATTCACCAACAGCGAGGTTTCATTAGAGGGTCCTATGACTTTAAAAAAGAATGTTTGAAAACAACTGGGATGAACCAGACCTCCTGAACAGGAGGCAGGGAAGGGGGCAGGGAAGCCCCAGGAGCCCTCTGGAGAATGGGGGGCTGTCTGCCCTGAAGCCAGAGACCTCAGTCCCCTCCCGGAGGCTGACAAGCAGCTGGGGAAGAGGGTGGTGTCAGAAGGAGCACCCTAAACCCAACCATATCTACTCCCACCTGCCCTGGACACCCCCTCCTGTCAATTTCCACCAGTCCCCTGCAGTAGATGGGCCACTGTCCCTAGAAGACCCTTCGAAAATGTGTCCATAGTTATGGGGCACATGTCTTCAGCCCCTCCTCCTCGGTCAGACAAGCTCTGGTGGGTCAGACGAGCCGGCTGACACCCTCCGTTCTTTGCGCATTCGTTCATTTCCTCATCCATTCAACCTTGCCCACGCACCAGGCTCGGCAGAGGGCCATCTCAACACACGATACGCCGTCCTTCTGGGGACTCAGGCTTACACCCCACACCACAGCCACCCTGTCAGCTCCACATTCAAAGTGCCTCCAAAACCTGACCGCTTCTCACAACCTCTGCTGCCACCATCCCAGTCCAGGTCACCACTGACTCCTGCCCGGGGGTCACACTGGCCTCCTTACCTGTCCCCCTTGCCTCACCCTTAACATAACCTCCTCCTCTCCCCAGCTCTCTTCTCTCCAGGCACGGCCACCTCAGGGCCTTTGCACTGGCTGTCACCTCCGCCTGGAAGCTCTTCCCTGCCCGCTTTTCCCCACAGCTCACCCTCTCGCCTCTTTCAGATGTCACGCATATATCACCTTCTCAACGACCTTCCCTGAACTCTATTTAAAACTTACCCTGAAACCCTCTCTTCCCCACATAGCATGTATCACTACCCATATCCCACACTAGGTCTCTTTCCTGCGTGTCTTGTTATTGTCTGTCACCCTGCCCGCCCGCCTCCCCCCACGAACTCAAGTGCCACAAGGGCAAGATATTTGCTCCTTCTGTTCCTTGCTATGTTCTCAGGGTCTAGGACAGTGCCTGGCACACAGTAGGCCCTCAGTCATTGAGTGAATGAATGAACAGAAGAACCGCTGATGTGCCTAGGGCAGGAACGGGGGATGGTGGGAATTCTATAATTTCTGAGGCTGTGGATCTTTGACAGTAAGTTCCCCTACCTGACTCTGGGCAGAAAGGTGCAGCAAGAAAGTGCAGGAAGTCACTAAGAACAGGAGGAGGGCAGGGACCAAAGGCAGACACAGAAACAGCCACCCTCCATCCACTCTCCGCTGAATGTCCAGCAGCGCTCCCCGTGCTGGGCTCTGGGGACACGGTGGTGATCCAACACTGGCCCCTCATCCCAGGGGCCCTGCTTCCTCAGCGCCCCCTCCAGGCGGAGCCCAGACAGATGCCCCGAGGAAGTGATGGGGTGATGGTTGGAGGGAGGAGTCAGTAAAAAAGGGGCAGGATGGGACCTGGGGGCATCCTGAGGACACTGGGAGGGCTGGAGGAAGGTCTTAAAAGACATCTCCAAGGGGGTTCACACCCTTTTTGTCCCTCAGAGCCCAGAATCCTGTCAGTCAGAAACTTCTGCTCATGACACACTCTATTCTGTCATGACCCACATTTACTGATTTTAAATTTCTTATTGGTTCAGTAATGTAACAACCAACCACGAGCACACACATGAGGACTTGTGTGCTTTTCCCTGATCCGGTCCTCCCTCTTTAGATAATTACTCAGGGTTTGTTTCTCATTTTCTTTCCTTCCCTCCTCCCTTCTTTCCTTAGCTTTAACACACAATGCATGCCTAAACAATTATCCTTTAGTTTGCCTTCTTTTGGATGGCTATAAACAAGGCATCAAATGGTATACAGTCTTCCGAGACTTGTTTTTTGCTCTGTGTTATATTACCAGGATTTATCCAAGTTACTGTGCTGCCGCAGTCCATTCATTCTTCATTGCCCTATATCATTCTGTAGTGTGAGTTTCACCACAATTTATTTAGCCATTCTTCCCGCATGGGACATTTGGGTCGTTTCCAGGTCCCCGTGTCTTTATGTTTACTTTTATGAACACTGCTGCTCTGAGCCTCCAGGTCCGAGTCTCCTGGGGCCCAGGCGCACGTACCTAGGAGTCGGATTGCTGGGCCAGAGACGTCAGGATTGTTCAGCTTTACAAGGCAACGTCAGGCTGTTTTCCCGGGTAGGGACGCCGATATGCATGCCTTGCACTGTTTGAAGTTGCCTCCCCTTGCACCCTCTTCCACAGGTGATTGTGAGGCCTTGATTTTCACCGACTGAACGGACATAACTGGTAGCACACTGTGGTCTTTCCCAAATGCTGCACGCTTCCTTCCACTGTCTTAGTGCCGGATGCCTTGAAAACCTCCCCACCCCCTGCACACACATCTGGGCCTATGGGGCCTTTCTTTGTCTGCCCCTCCCTCCTCTCCGGGACCCACACACAGCCCCTCTTGCCCGGTCACTGTCACGACCTCCTCAACCCAGATCAATACTGATATTTTCATGAAAATGGGCCAAAGCCTATGCCAGTGACACAGGGAGCGCCTGCCTTGTCCACCGTCACCTAGAAAGCATCACGTGGGGGAAAGATGCATTTCACTCTGTGCTTTGGTTTTTTTCACACCTTCCCCACCACCCCCCCCCCAATCTGCCCGGCCTTCCTCAACCCCTTCTGCTCACTCACAGTGCCCCTGACCATGACCTGACCTGACCATGCCTGACTCACGGAGGCCCTGGCCCTGGCCAACCCGGCCTGGCCGAGGCGGGGGATGGAGGGAAGGAGTCAGGCAGGGGCTGGCTCTGTGCGTCTAACGCGCCTGCTCTGCATCTCAGCCAGCTCCTCTGGATGTTCCCACCACCACCCCGGAGCTGGACCCCTCCCTTTCCTCTGGCTGCTCGCTGACCCCAAACACCCTGCAGTGCAGTGCGCAGCTAGAAGTGGGCGCCAGGTCTCCTCACCCCTCTCTGGACCTGCACCGGGCCCCTCACACTGCCTTCACTTTGCTGCCACTGCCCAAGGTGAACCCTCGGTCCCACTTTGTCATCCCACTCCCCCACCCCCGCAGGCCTCTCCCCTTCCCCACTCGCTTCCTCCCCACCCCCCGGCACACACATGGTCTTGCTCAGCTGGTCAGAGCTCAAGGGCCTCAATCACTGTCTGCAGAGGTAGCGGGCGCCAGCCACGGGCACGGGCGCTTCTGCTGGGTTGGCACCAAAGGCTCATTAGTCAGATTGCTGCAGACATTTCCAAGTTCATTTCCCACTTCCACCTTTGGCTCCTCTCCCTGTCCCCTCCTCCCTGTCAAGTCAAGGATTCTTCCTCCAAGTTCTCTTGATCAAGAGGACATAAGAGCCCTTAAACTTGGGACTCCGAAAGTTCACCATTCGGGTTCAGATCACTGCTCTTTGTTCAGACATTTAAATTCCAACCTCACTGCTCACCTGAACGCTCCCATGAGTGTGAAGAATTGGCACCCAGCCGGTTCCTGGTAAATATTTATTGAATGAATGAATGAGTTGTTTTCCTTTCCTTTCCTGGGCACGGTCCCTGAGGAGTTTCTCCTGAACTGCTCCATATGTTAGGCCCACTCCTTGTGCCTTCCTCTCTGGTCGACCAGCAGCAAGCCCTCCAGCTGTCTCCCTCCCCGGCTGAGGTTTTCTTGCTCGTCCATTTCTGAGCGTTCTGTCCCAGGCTGGCCTGAGCTGCCCCATCAGAGAGGCAGGAGGGCTCAGTGGCTGTGTGTGGGCTCTGCCATCAGGGGCTGGGCTGTGGAAGTAAGGACCAGCCCGTGTGACCTGAGTGACCTGAGCGACCTGAGCGACGCATTTGCATTCCACTTCCGTGACCTGCCTCCCTCCAGCTCCGCCACTCTGCCTCGAAGTCGAGAGTAATTGCTCAATCGAATTTAACAGATGTGCCGAATGGCTGAGTCCAGCGAGCGCGTCTCCGCTTCCCCAGGGGCAGGCGTGACGGGCGTGTTTGGAGCCTCCTGCTCCCTGTGTGAACCCTGGGGAGGAAGCAGCAGCCACGCGGCTGTGGCAGAGGCCCCTGCACAGTCAGGGCTGCCTCCAGGGAGTCTCCGCCCACACTGGCCACGGACAGGTATGAACCGATCCCTGGTAGGCTGCCCCTGCCCTGGATCTGCAAGTCCCTGTCATAGCTCCCCTTTGTCCCCTGACAAGCACCAGCAGTTTCAGTGTTCCTTTAAATCCTCCTCCTCTCTGAGAACTAATCCATGCCCCACCAGCCCCAGGACCCACCCCGGTGCCCCCTCCTACGGCCCAGGCCACAGCAATTCTTCAGACCAGTGATTCCTAGTATCAACCTAATTGACCTCTAGCTGTCCAGGGTCCCCAAGGCCTCCAGACTGGTGGCTGGATTTGTATCCCACCCACCCACTGGGGAGAGGGTTTAGGGGGACACCCCAGGTTCCTACCCGCTGGTGCAGACAGGTAGTCACGGCTGCCTCTCCCTCGGATTTCCTGCTGAGCTCGGTTCTGCCCAGCACCTCTCTTCAGGAACGGCTGGCTTCTGCCTCCTGGCACCGAACGCAGCCCTTCTCCTGGGTGTCTTCCTGGGTGTCTTCTACACACCACCAACGCAAGGCACCCGCGTGCCCCACTTGCCCGGAGTCCGGGAGGCACTGGGGTGGAATTCATGCTGGGACGCACAGTGCACGCACAGAAAATCTGAGGGACTTTGGCCGTGCCTCCCAGGAACCCAGTATCCCACCATGTTGCCCGTTCCTTTCTCTCCACAGTTCACCTCTTTCCCCGCTCTCTCTTTTTCCCTTTCTGGCTTATTCTGGCTATGTCAGGAGACAGGAAGGGCTGCAGTGAGCCCCCCCTTTCACTCCCCAAAGGGCCTCAAGGCACTTTCCCCCACACAATGGCGGTTTTTGCCCAAAGTGGAACTCTGCATCTGGGTTTTTAAATAAGTTGTTGTCTTTTAAAATCCACCCCCCCCCTCCATCTTACATTTTCACTGTGTTTAATCACCCACCCAGCATCTGACAGACTCTCACGGAACCCCTGGGGTGCGGGGACGGCCAGGGCATCTGCAAATGGGAGGAGAATGTGGTGACACAGCCACAGCCGGGGGAGGTGCTCTGGCAGGGCCCTGAGCAAGGAGCGACTGGGTCCCAGAGGAGGAAACGTCCTGTGTCGTTGGGTTGCTGGGGGCAGGTTCCATGGGGAGACTGCACCTTGTATGCTGGAAGAAATGTGTTGGGGAAGCAAGTCCAAGGAGAGAAAACAGTCTGGGCAAAGGTGTGGCAGCAAAGAAGGGCAGGGCACGTTTGCAGAGGGCCGAGCTGTTCTGTGTAGCTAGCCTGCAGTGTAGAGGGGTGTGGGGCGGAAGGGGAGGCCAACAGTGAGGTCCGAGAGGGTGGTGAGCGGGGTGGGGTCATAGAGGAGCCTCAGAGGTCCAGCAAAGGACCTGCAAGTCCATGATCTCGTTTGTCTTCCAAACTTCCCAGTGGGGTGGGAGCCAAGGTGTGAGACGACAAAACCCATTTTACAGATGACAAAACTGAGGCACAGACCCATTATAGTGACTCTCTGCTCCTCTGTCCGGGCAGCTGAAACAGGTTTCACTTGCTTTTGTTAAGGTTTATTTTACTTTAGTAGTTAATTAATTTACTTTGGCTGAATCGTGTGGACCTTGGCTGGGTCACATGTTTATCCAACAGGAGAGAGGGATGTCCAGACCCTCCCTGACTGGGAAAAGAAAGACTTCCATGCCCCAGGGAGCTTAGGCTAGCCTCGGTGGCCAGTGGGCACTTGTCTGATCTATGAAGAAAGGCGGAGGAAAATGGGTTCCGGGGCCAAACCCCCTCTGCATTACAGCCGCTGCAGGAAAAGGCTTAACAGCGTCAAGGACTCGAAGGCCCCAGACTCCCTTAGCTTGTCCTCAGCCTCCTGAATCCTCTCAAAGCCACGCAGAAATGGAGGAGGCCATGGATTATGTCCCCAAACACTCCGAGAATTGAATGAGGGATTAGCTACTTAACGGCGATTGATTTTAATGATCCAGGCTCACAAATCGCTGAGCTTTCTGGTCCTCTGTGGCACATAACATGTGTACACGTGTGTGCCCACCACATGGAGGGTGAGTGTGCACAGACGTGGGCAGATATGGTGCGCACGAATTTCATGTCTGTGTGCACAGGGGCACATGTGTACTTGTGTGCACACTTGTCTGTGTGCCAGGTGCCTCTTGGTGTGTTCTCCTGTTTGTTTGTGCATATTTCTCCCAAGGCCGTCGCGATGCATGTGGCTCAGTGTTCTGCTGCGTGCACACCTCTGTGTATTTGTGTGAGCACGTGTGTCTGTGTGCTTGTCCATGCAAGTACATGTGCTGCAGATTGTGCAAGTTCTCCGTGTCCCATCGTGTGCGTAAGTGTGGGGTCTGTATGCTTGGTGCACTGTGCATCTGTGTGTAGACTTCTCTGTACATGCGCACACGTGGTGTATATGCAGATGAACACCGACCCCATCTTTGGGTTCCTTGAATGCATGGTGCTCCTCCCTTCCTCCAGACCTCTGCGTGGGCCCCCACGCCTGAGACACATGGTCCTGCTATTTACCTTCTCATCCAACTTAAAGGACATACTTCTTGCTATTTTCTCTCACATGACCTATTATTTTCTTTCAGTGCACATATTGCCATTTGTTATTGTATATTTATTTGTGTATTAACTTGTCTGTTACTCATCTCCACGAGGGTAGGGAGTGTCTCTTTGTAACACTGCTGTCCTCTGTGCGTAGTGTGGTGTCTGGTGTGTAGTAGGTTTTCAACAAGAATGAAGTAACTGATGAATCTATGCTCTCCTTGTGTGTGTGTGCCGGTGTACACTTCCCGGTACCTCTGAGTAGGGAAGCACATCTGTCTGGATGCCCACGCTTACACACACAAGTCTGTGTGCAGGTGTGTACAGCAGGGACTGTACCTGTATGGATGTATGACTGTATGTATCAAAAATGGCAAGAGTTTCATTTCTTCTGCTCCTCCAACCCGAGATCTCTGAGATCCCAGATGGACTCCGGGAAAGGGGTGCCCCTCACGGCATGGGAATGGAACACTGTCCTGAAGGCAAGCACAGCGAACCCCCAAAGAGCTGCCCTGTACCTATGCCATGGAGATGCTCCTCAGAAAGACACTAGGTCTCTGCAGACAGCGGCTGTGGACCCTGGGAAAGGACTGGGTGAGTAAGTGATGAGCTGATGCTACTGTTATTTCTTACAAATATTCAGCATCTTCACCAAGACCCCCTCTGGACCACGCCCTGAGCTGGATGCTGGGGCACCCCAAGGAGGTGCTTCTAGGAGCCACAACAGGACAAGTAACAGTCTTCCCATAGTAGGTTATCTGCCCTCCCTACTCCCCACCCGTCTCCGAGTCCCAAGGGGCAGAGACCAAGTCTGTCCCATCCACGGCTGTCTGTGCTCTAGTGCCTGGAGGTGCCTGATGGACATCAGTTAAATAAAGGCATGGATAAGGGCGTGGGCAGTCCCTCCCCTCTGTGTAGGGAGAAAGAGCAACTTCCTCTTGTCTACAGCCTTCAAGTTTGCAAAGAATGGCGCCATCTGCTCTGCTGGGTGCTCCCTCCCCCATGTCAGGCCCTTCAGGAGCCTCTTTCATCTCTTACAAAAGTAGGAAGGATGTTAAAACACAACTGGGGGTGGGGCAGCTAATAGAACCGCACGGTGTGCAGGGGTGGAGTGCTATAAAGCCGACACGGTCAAAGGCGGCACAGAGACCAAAGTCTGCCAATAGGAGGAACTTGGGAAAACAGCTAACAGGGTTTAAAGAGACTGCTCACAGCCCAGACCGGGGGCCCACGCAGTCCTTTCAGCTGAAATCGCTGAGAAGCTCCTGCCAGTCTGGTCTGGACTAGGGAAGGTGGAATGGCATCTGGAGCCTGTCCAGGTCAACCTGCCACTTGGAGCTGCCATTTCCTTCCCTGCAAAATGCAGACAAGAAGACCCACATGCTAACTGACCGTCAGGATGAAAGGATCGGAGGCTGGCAGCTGTTAGGCACTCGTCCCACACTACTTTCCTCTTTCCTTAAAGACAGACGCTGCCACTAAGTAGTTTCTGATGTGTCTTCTTGTGGCTGGGGTTTAGCGGACTTAAGTTACTATATTAGCTAGCACATCGGCTTATTGAGCACTCACTGTGTGCCAGGTGCTTGGGTCAGGGACTTCACATCTGGCCTCCTTTAACCGACAGGACAGATCTATTATTATTCCCATTGAATAGATGAGGAAACTGAGTCTTGGAGAGGCGAAGTAGCCTTAGTTCAAAGTCATATGGGCTAGGAATGGTAGCAGCTGGTATGGAGGACCTGCCCCTCCACTTAGAGTTTGAGTCAGGGTTTGACTTTCCAACCTGTGTGCTTTACGACGAGTTTACCCAGTGAAGCCACTTTCCCCCGGGCCTCAAATTCACATTCTGTGAAACAAAGGGGTGAGGTAAGACCACAGGTTTTTAGAATTTAACAGCTGAATCCTTTGATTCAGACAGAGCCCCCATGTTGAAATAAATAAAGGGGAGCAGCCCTGAATGATGTGGCAGAGCCCGGAGCCCCTCCCCAGCCCAACCCCTGAGGCCTTGGGGGAACAGACATTTAAAAATGCTGGAGCCCTGGCCGGTGTGGCTCTGCTGGCTGGAGCATCATCCCATAACCAAAAGGTTGCAAGTTCAATTCCTGGTCACATACTTAGGCTGCAGGTTCGATTCCTAAACTGGACACGTATGGGAGGCAATCCATCGATGCTTCTCTCATGCATCAATGTTTCTCTCTCTCCCTCACTCCTTACTTTTCTCTCTGTAAAAAAGCAATGAAGAAATACCCTCAGGTGAGGATAAATTTTTTTTAAATGCTGGAATGGGCCACCCTATGGGCTGGGCCCTGCTAGCTAGACATCCTGTACTAGAAGGTGCAGAGTTTAGGGGCCATTGTTCTAGAAGCAGGAAGAGGGGAAATAAAACCATCATCACCCTCCACTCTCAGGTATAAAAGTGTAAATCAACTAAAAACACCAAGCTGATCGGAAAAAACTAGCCTGGAGAGTACTGCAAAGGTCCCCGTGAGATGGAAGCTCCAGGCAGGGGGTGTGGCCAGGGGGGTTGGGGTAGGAAGCCCATCTTTAATCCCCTGAATACGGGGCTCTCCAGCCTTTCCCCAGTGACTGGGAACCAGCTCCCTCCCGGCCTGATTAGAGAGTCTTTGTTTGAAGTCCTGATATGGGCAGGTTCTTGCAGCAAATTATGCATCAGTTTGCCAGTGAAGATTCAAAATTGTAAAATAATTGTGGTGGTAAAATTATTCACAAATCCATGCAGGCCCAGGGCCTATGGAAGGAGGTCAGATTTACACTGAGCACACGGTGACATAATTCAGACTAAACAGATAAGCTTGTTCCACTCCTGACAGAACCAGTTCCCCAGAGGCTGCTGGGTAATGCCAGGCCAATTACACACCCAGCCCGGGCAAGGGAAGACACATCACCACTGAGGGCGACACGCAGTGACAAGGAGCAGATCACACCTGAAGGGAAGGGTCCCCATGATACCTGAGCCAGCACAGGTGGCCAGGGGCTGTGGCATCCTTGTTCTTGAGCCAGGAGGCCATGTGGACAATGAATGGGGTGCCCAGGAGGGGACTGAGTTGTGCCTGGATCTGAAACCTGCCAGACAATCAGCTGGCCAGAATATCAACCGAACCACATTGGGTCCACGGAGGAGGCCGAGGCACCCCCCCAGGGACAAAGTGGGCCTGCCCTTTTGCTGGGCTGCAGCCACCAGGGCTGGATCGGGTCCCCGGTTCAGGTGGGTCACAATGGTTTTGTCAATATCCCCTCCTCCTCACCACACGTCTTTGCATGCACAGTCTTTTCATTTTTCCCTGACGGTTCAAGTTGCTTTATGTGGCACGTTACCAAGGAGCAGGCGTTTGTTTGTTTTTTATGTTCCCCACAACAGTTTTTTTCATTCTTATCAAACAAAGCTGGTCATGATAATAGCTAACATTTGTTGAATGCTGTGCTAGGAATTTTATAAACATTGTTTCATTTTAACCCTCTCAAGCAGTCATTCTCAAACTTGAGCACAATCAGGAATCTCCTGGAGAGCTTCCTATAAATCACAGGCTGCTGGGCCCCAGCCCCAGTGGTTCTGACTCAGGAGGGCCAGGGTGCTGCCTGAGAATGTGCATTCTTACCAGTTCCCAGGTAATAATTCTGGTGCTGTTGGTCCCAGGACTAGTCGTTGAAAACACTGGGCTAAAGAAAAGTGGGTACAGCGAAGCTTAAGAGGCAGTGTTGTGCCTTTCCTGCCGCCAGATTGCCCGAATCCGGATCCTGAACTCCTCCACATCCTGGCTGTGGGGCTTTGCGCAAGTGGCTTCACCACTCTGTGCTTCAGTTCCTTCATGTGTAGAAGGGGCATAATAATGGCAACTCCCTCACAGGGCCATTACCAAGAGCAAACCAGTGAGCACACGCAAAGCTCTTAGAAGAGTGCCTGGCACGTGGCACACACCTGTTCATACAGGTAGTAAATGGATGCTTCACCTATCTAGTGTCTGCGGTCCTAACCATGATGCTGCCTGGTGAAGCTGGGGCTGGTGACCTCTGGCAGGAGACCTTAGCAAGGGCAGTGACCTCCAGAGGCAGCATGGGGGTGAGGGAGGAGTTCCAGGCCTGGGTTCTGGCATGGCTGCTAGCTGTATGCCTCTGGGAAAATCAGGTCTCCCCTCTGAGCCCGAGTTCTCTCACCGGGGAAAATTGGGGCCTGCTTTTGGGGAGCTTATGCTCGGGGGGGGGGGGGGTCGTAAAATATTCTCAGCCCAGTGATGGAGGCAGACCATAAAGGATTCTGATGGCTGAGGAGTCAGGGCTCGGACCCGAACGTCAATGCTGCTGGAACTTTTCCACCAAAGGACCCTAGGAGTGGCAGCATTGCTCAGAGCAGAGCGGATTCTCTGAAATCTTCTGTTTTAATCTTACACGCACACACATCCTTTATATTTTACTCCCTAATATTGCCATGTTTGTTTGCACATGAAGCTAACATTTTTTTTCCTGAATCTTCTAATAAAATAGGCATCTGGGAACCGTGTATCATGTTTGCCTGGGGCTTCAGCTCCTCCTTGGTACGTGTCTGACAACATCTGTGGAAAGCTCAGCCGTAGGAGACGGATCAAACGCCCAGACTTGGAGACCTGGCCAGGCTGTGTCCTCCCCAGAACAATGTCCTAAGCCCTAGCCTCATACAGATGGAGCCAGACCACGGTCCAGGGGGTTCTTTCCCTCCCACCTGGGGGACAGGCCATCAGCCCCACATTGCCTGCGGTTCCTGTTCGTGGAGAGATTTTACATCGAGTGCTTTTCATTCAGAATTGTAAGCTTTAATATGTTTTACAGGAAGCCCTTTTATGTGCCAATAAAAAACGAGCGATTATAGCAGCCGATGAAAAAGCAGCAAGTGCCTTGGAGCTGCTGTATGTTTAGAAAGTGTGGGCACATTTCCCCCGAGAATGGCGGGACTGAGCCCTTTCTTGTTCATTACGGGATCAGGCAGACAGGGGCTCTTGTCAAAGGCAGAGCTTTACACAATCACCATGCACCTGTGAGAGTGTGTGTGTGTGTGTGTGTGTGTGTGTGACAAGAGGGAGGACATAGCCCAAACAACCCTCTCTGATTCTACTAGTTTAATACCTTCCTTTCTTCTCGGTAGAAGAAGAGATGGACATAAGCCAAGGGCAGTGGTTCTGGCCACCAAGGGCGATTAACTTGGCTTTTTAATGACTAGTCCTCCGCAGACTCCAAAACCCTCCCCATTTCTAGAATCAACAAAAGCCAGAGTTGAAGAGACCTTGAAAGGTCACCCCCTCCCCTGTGAGCACAGTGGGAACCTCTCAAGTTCTTAAGGAGGAAGGTGGACTCCTTGTACCTTCCCTAGGAAGGCCTCGTGAGGGCGAATCCCCTCCCACGGCCCTGAGAACCGGAGACCTGGGTGCCTGGTGAACCAGGGTCATAGTGCACACGGAGCTGTGTGCTCAGGCCCAAATGCTGAGCCTGGCCAGGCAGCCACAAGGCACAGTCACCCCCAAGAGCCACACAGGGCTGGAGAGACACCGTTCTGTTCTCAAAAGTGTACATTCCTCCTCCCAGTGCCCAGTTAGCCTGGCTGGGTGCTAAGGAAAAAGGCCAGGATGGGCATTAGATTTCATCAGGCATAGGCTAAAAGTTCTAGTCCTAACTTTGAGCGTGCAGTGCCAGCACAGGTGGAAGCCGGGAATAGGCACCGAGTAAAGCGATGTAGAGGGTGAGCCAGGTGCAGCCTTCCTGAGCTCTAGTCTCAGCTTGGCCGCTCACCACCGTGTGATCTTAGGCCAGTGGTTCCAGCTGGGGGTGACTTCACCCCTCAGGAGACTTCAGCAATATCTGGAGACATTTCTGGCTGTCACAACCGTGGGGGTAATGGGTGCTACTGGCATCCAGTGGGCAGAGGCCAGGGATCCTGTTAAACATCCTACAATGCCCAGAATGGCCCCCACAACAGAGAAGTATCAGCCCCAAATATGAATGGTGATGAGGTTGAAAAACCTTGCCTTAGGCAAATTTCTGAACACTTCTGTGCCTTGGTTTTCTAACCTTTGCAGTGTGGGTGGCACTAACAATACTGTCCTCACAGGGCTGTTGTGAGGATTAAATGAACTAATGTAAATAAAGTGCTTAGAACAGCACCCGGCACAGAAATAGCACTACAAATGTATGCTATTAATGCTGTGATTGTCACCCAGGACAGTAGGAGCCAGGGCTCAGGGAAGGAGCCCAGCAGAGTCTGTGCAAGAACAGAGGTCCAAGGGCAAACATGAGGGGAGGGGTCAAAGGCAAGGTTGAATTCAGTGTCTTAGAGTGGAGACTTCAGAGCCGGGGAGGCAAGATGAAGAGGAAATGGGATGAGGGAGAATAGTTCTGAGAAGCTGCCTGGAATCCCCTCTGGAATTCAAGGGTTCACTCAATGCAGGGCAGACAGCCAGGGGGCAGGCGAGCGGGAAGGGCCCCCACAGTCCATGCTGTGGTGGTCTGTGCTCGCTCTCTTTCTTCCCTGCCTGCCCCATGCCCGCCCCTACTTGCTCCACGAGAGCTGCTGTGGGCACAGGATGGTCTTTGGCCTCTTCCCCTGGCCAGAAAATGGGGACTTGAAACAGCTCAAGCTCTTATTCCAGGGGTCACAAGACTTGGTGTTGGGCCCCGTAATGGTTTGAATTGTGGGCACCCCGCCTTTCCAAATATACATCTGCCTGGAACCTTTGAATGTGACTTTATTTGGAATAAGGGTCTTTGCAGATGTAATGAAGGTAAGAATGTCAACATGAGATCGTCATCCTAGATGGGGGTGGACTCCAAATCCAGCAACAGTGTCTCTGTAAGAGATGGAAAAAAAGACAGAGATGCAGGGAGGGGAAGGTCATGTGTCAATAAGGCAGAGATTGGAGGGACGCAGCTACAAGCCAACGATCCCTGAGGATGGCCAGCAGCTCCCAGCGACTAGGAGAGAGGCAGGGAACGGATTTTCCCTCAGAGCTTCCGGAAGGAACCCACCTGCCCACACCTTGATTTGGGAGCTCTGGCCTCCAGAACTGTGAGAGAATAAGTTTCTGCTGTCAGAAGCTACCAGGTTTGTGGTAACTGGCTACGGCAGACCAAGGAAACAAATATCATTCCCGAGACAGAAAGGCCTGAAGGCCAACAGGCAACCACAGACCAGGCCGCTGGGCAGAGAGCTCCAAGGTTGGCCCTGGCCCAAGGTCACCTTTCAGGGCCTGGGACAAAGCGTTCAGCATCTTGTCCTGGGATAACTGCTCCATAACAGGGACCTTTTCTTCCACGAATCCCGGAACTCTCCACACTTGGCAAGGTCCAGCTCTCTGGACCAGTCAACAAGGCCACGGGACGGTCAGGTTAAGGCAGCGTAAACAGCCAACTGCGTGGGAAGAAAAGAGAGGGAAAAATGAAGTACAACGGAAGCTTTATTAATTGTCCCAGCTACTTAGCAGTAGGAGTTGAAAAGAAGTATTTAGCTGTTGCAAGAAGAAATGGAAAACTCTGGTCTTTCATTAATCTCGCTGCCCTCCATGTCAGACGCCCATTGTCAGGGCGGGCACAAAGCCTGCCGTTCGCAGCAGAAACGCTAAGGGCCGACCAAGTGGGAATGCGCGGGCCCGGGAGAGAACGGTTCAATATTGAAAGTGTTTTCTCCGCAGCCAGAGGTGCCCATTTCCAGTCCTTTTCAATTTGTACACTTTTCTCCAATGACTCCTCGAGGGTAATTACAGTTCTTTTCACAAATGAAGTATGGGAGATGCGAGAGAGAGGCGAAGCTGTCAATAGTCCGGCAGGAATGCGCGGTCTGTCTCCCGGAGACACAGAAAGCATCGATCCTCCTTCCTGAGGGACTCTGAGCAATCGTGAATGGAATGCACCCCAGGAGGGAGGCTGGGGTGAAATTGCCTTCACCTCCTAGGAGGTTCTGAGCCCAAGGGAGGCAGCTGATACAAGAGACTCGTCCATCCCGCCCCCTGCCCCAGTGCCCAAGCAAGTGTTGGAGGGCCCACAGGCTTGTATTTTTTTGTATTTTCCTTCCTTAGATGCATGATCCAAGGGCCCCAGCCTCAGGCAACATGAGAAACTCCAGTGGCCCAGGAGCCTGCATTTCTATCAGTGACTTAAAGAGGCCAAAAGGCACCTGTTTGCAAACAGGTACACAGTACGCAGCTGCAGGAGACCTAGGAGGCACTGCCAAGGAGGTAGGAATAAACAGTCATCCTCAGGCTGGACCAGGAGGCTGAGATTTATACCATCAAGTGTCCTAATTATAAATGTTCAGTTTTCTTCTTGGCTTCCAAACACAGCTGCTGGCTTATAGCAGCCCCTGCCGCATAGTTCTTGGGCCATGTGTTCAGTGTGTTCAGCATCAGTCAGCTCTCTGCCACGGGTACCAACAACAGCACACACTTTCTGAGTGCATTCTTCAGGCCAGGCATCACACTCGGTGCTTTACAGCAATGTCCCCTTTGATCCTGACAATGGCCCTGTGAGATACAGACTATAATTATCTCTAGTTTGCAGATGAGGAAACTAATGCAGAGAGCAATTCGGCAGCTTTTCCCAGCACCACACCTAGAGAGGGGAAGCAAGACTTGAGTTAGGGACAAATACAGACAAGCTGGCTGCAAAGCCCATTGCTCAGGCTGCTCTGAACTGCCCAAAAAGACTGTTTAAACTTGGGCTGCTTCAGCAGAAACCTAACACCTATCCAAAGGAAGGGTGCCCTGCTCTCCCCAGGCCACAGCACATCGGGATGGGATTCTGAGGCCTAGGCGCCATGCTTCTGGAAAGACGTTGACAGTTGAGGACATGAAGAGTAAAGCATGTGCAAAACCCTCCTCTGATTGTCCCTGAGGGCCCTCATTCCCACTGTGTAGGCCCTTGACCTTCTTGAGATCTCTACTTTCTGAACTCTCCAAACTGCCTCAGTCCATCAGCTCCTCCCACTACCCTTCCCTGCCCACCGGCAATGCCACCACCATCCAATCCTGCCAACACGCTCAATCTCCTTGTCCTATCTTCCCATCCCATCCAGCAAAGTGTCAAGCCTGGTGTAATCCAGTGATTCTTTTCTTTGTCTCAGGCACTTGGGTTTCTTAGGGGAGTGAGATTGGAAAATATTATACTGTAGCCTGGGGACACATGCAGTTCAGAGTTTCTGCTGGGCTGGACTCTCAGCCCTGCCAGCCGGGACTTTCTACACAACAGCTTCCTCTACAGCTCCCTCACCCCATCCACCCTGGGTAGCCCTTTTTCCTTGTCCCTTCTAGACAAGCCTCCTCACCCCGGGCCACAGTCCTTACCTTCACCATATGACCTGACCTCCCCTGGAGAGAAAAATGCCAATTTGTAGAGTTGAGAGTAGTTTGTCGACTTATTGCACCAATCTTTTTTTTAAACAGCTTTATGAGGTGTAATTTATATACCATGAAATCCATCCACTTGAGTGTACAACTGAATGATTTTTAGTGTATTGACAGAGGTGTGCAACCACCACCACATTCTAATCCTGAAGCGTTCACATCATCACTTCAGAAAGAAATCCTGGGCCCGTTTGCGATCACACTCCATTCCCAGCCCCAGCCCCAGGCAACCACTAATCTGCTTTCTGTCTCTCTAGATTTGTCTTTTCTGGGTATTTCATACCAACAGAACCATGCAATGTGTGACCTCTTGTGTCTGACTTTTCTCACGCAGCACCATGTTTCTGAGGTCCAGCCATTCTGTGGCGTGTAGCTGTAGTTGGCTCCTCTATGGCGGGATAGCCTTCCACTTATGGGTCTAACACATTTTGATTATCTGTCCACCAGCTGACGGAC